GTGAAAGGTAGACAAATTTAGGATGGTCCGTTTCTCTTGAATGAGGTGGTAGCCTGGAGTAAGGCTTCGAAAAATGCTCTTATGATTTTCAAAGTGGATTTTGAGAAGGCCTTTGATTTAGTTTCATGGGAGTACCTGTAACACATGATTCTTTTCACTTCTTAGTTTAGACCCTTAGTGGTGTAAGGTTTTGTAGATTTCATCCCTAGCAGGCATAATTGTCAACTTCGGGGAAGTTGGAGTACGCTGGGCGTACTGATGCAGGTTGGTTGTGGAGCTTATCCACGTACTTTGGGTGTACATGGAGTACGTTTAGTGTACGTGAGCACTTTAGAAACCCTAATTTTAGGGCTTGAACCCTATATAAATAATAAGATAGCCTCTTTTTGCCTTGTTTAACTAGCATCCATACCCTTAAAAATCCTAATTCGTTCCTTAATCTTTGTGTGGTGCTTTTGAGATCTTGAGAAGCTTTTGGTAGGCGTTGTGCATCTTGAAGTTGTAGAAGAAAAAACTTGAAGACTCATTCTTTGGGGGAGAGCCTTGAGATCCAGCTTTAACACCTTCTTTTCGTGCCTTTTAAGGTATATAGCTCAAAGCTTGTTATCTCATTTCATATATCTATTCTTTGGCTTGTTTTTTAGTCATTTGGGTACCTTTGGTTGGTGGTTGTGAGCTAAGTTCATTTATTGAGCTTATCCTTGTAGATCTGGTCATATTATGGGTTTCTTAAGCATAAAAGGTGCAAACTTTATGGTGGTTTTGGATCCCATTCATGCTTTAAGTCATTTATTAAGCTCTTTTGAGCTCTAAAGCCCCATTAAACCATGCATGCATGTAAAGTTGACAACTTTATTAGATAAACCACCTTAATGAAGTTAGATCTGAGATTGGGTTGAAGTCTTAATAAATTATGAGCTAAAAATGGGAAGTTTGCGAAGCTGGTGGAGTACGTTGGGCGTACAAGCAGGTACGATGTTCGTACAAGCCCTCAAGCATTCACCCTGTGCGTACAAGCTGAGTACGCCCCACGTACTCAGTAGATTGGGCTTCGGTCTATTTGGGCTCTTGGTTTTAGGCCATGTTGGACTTTGGTTGTCTTGGGCCTTGTTGGGCCATTTGAATCCTATTGTTGGGCTGTTAAGATTTTAGTAGACTCTCTTAGGTGAAGGCCCATGAAAGGGATTTGGTCCCAATTTCGGAAATTGGGTAATATTTGGGCTTTGGGTGATTATTTTGGAAATTGGGTTTTTTGGGCAATTAGATTGGGCATTGGCCTTCAGCATAGATTTGTTTTATTTTTCCATCTCCGAAAATGTTTGGGAAATTGGGCTTTTTGGGCAATTGGATTGGTACGTCATATCATCTCCCAAAATATTAATGATAAATAAAATCAAATCTCCACATTTTATTTTTTCAATCATGCGATAAAGATTTGTTCTCGCAGTCTTCACTTACTTTTGAGTCACCACTCGATCCAACTTTTATATATATATATATATATATATATATATATATATATATATATATATATATATAGACACACACACGCACAGAGAGAGAGAGAGAGAGAGAGTATTAAAATGTTGAGAAGATGAAAAACTCGCTTGCTGTCTTGTTCTCTATCGCGAACTAGGATCGCTCGCCAGCTAGGTCAGATTGGAGCAACATTGTATGAGAACATATTACCCATATTTGGGTGCAAGGAGCGAAACGACCTCTAGATCTACTATAATTTTGTTCAAAGTAGTATATAAAAAATATATTTATATATTTTAAATAGAATATAACTACTAAACTCTAATCATAACTTCCTAAAATTCACACAATTACCTAACAAAATGGAATTAAGTGATTTTTTTTATTAAAAGAATACAATTTTTTTTCAATTTTTATTAAAAAATCAACATACAATTTCATTTATAAATTAATAAAAAATAAACTATTAGTTCTATATGAAAAGGTTATATTACGATTGAATTAATTAATACATCTATATTGATAAAAATATATTCACAAGATTAAATCACTTTAGAATCGAGACATTGTATTCACACATGACTGTATATTTTCATATATTTCTAATCATGATTGAATAAAACAAAATATATAAAAAAGAAAAAATTAATCATCAAAGAATAATAGACAATTTGTAGAAGGGTAAATAGCACAAAAAATATTTTTTTTACACAGAAATTCGATTTTGACACCGTGTTTTTTTTTTTTTTTTTGTTAATTTTGACACTGTGTTTTCCAATTTGTTACAATTCTGACCGCTTGACCGGTTAACCAGGTTACATGCTGACGTGGCATGATGATGTGTCAGTTTTGATGACGTGGCATGCTAATATGATATGCTGACGTGTCAAAATTGAATTTTTTCCCACAAAAAACACTAAGTTTTTATTTTTTTTTCGATTTTGACATTAAATTTAATTTTTTCTTTCAACTTTGACACTATGTTTATTTGTTCCAAATCGAACATCATTTTTTCTAATTTTGTTCAATATTGATAATTTTCTATTTGAAAGCGTATAAATATTTTTTTAATACATTTAAACCGTATAGATATGTTTTTTTTTTCATTTAAAAACCATACTTTTATACAAATACAATTTTTTTTTTGTACACTCAAACCATATTTTTATATATAAATATGTATTAGTTATATAAAAATTGTATTTTATATTAAATATGCAACTTAAAAATGTGTTTGGAGGTTTAAAGGCGTGTAGTCGATCAAAAAACTCGAATATCAAGTTTGCAACCCATCAAATTTTCACATCTTATTAGAAGTTTATTGTTAGTTTGATTCTCGTGATATAACTAATTAATGCTTTTAATGTAAGAAAAAAAAACACATTGTATTTAAATAAAAATGTGGTTTTTAAACGAAAAAAATATGTTTATACGGTTTAAAATGTAATAAAAAAATATATTTATACGGTTTCAACTGGAATATAGACAAAATTGAACAAAATTTGATAAATGATGTTCGATTGGAAAAAAAAAAACATAGTATCAAAATTGAAATAAAAAATTAAACTTAGTGTCAAAATCGAAAAAAAAGTGAAAACTTATTGTTTTTTGTGGAAAAAAAAATCGATTTTGACACGTCAGCATATCATGTCAGCATGCCACGTCATCAAAATTGACACATCATCATGCCACATGAGCATATAACCTGGTTAATCGGTCAAGTGGTCAGAATTATAATAAATTGAAAAACACAGTGTCAAAATTGACACAAAAAAGATACGGTGTCAAAATCGAATTTTTGTGAAAAAAAATATTTTTTGTATCATTTACCCTTTGTAGAAAAAGAAAAACTACAATTATAATTGTATAACACGAGAAAAATAAATACAATAACCTTTTTATCATAAACTCTATAATCAAAATCAATAAATTCCCTCAAATGAATTTTTTTCGTTGTGCATATCAATGCACACGTATCTCTCCATGTACAATCACAGAAAATAAGTAGTATGACTTGATCATCAATATAAAACTAAAAATAGCAAGTAAAATAGAAAATAAGTACGTAATATGGTTGGATCATTAATAAATATCTAATAAATAGAAAAACAACAAATTCACAATAATGACACAATCGATTACAACCATATTCACATAATATTTTCTAGAAAATGTTACCGCACGTTATTTACAAATTCATATTTATGATATAATTAACTATATTGACATTATCAAGCCAAAAAATCAAATTCACACGTGAAACTTCATATTTAAAATAAGACGACACTTGAATAGGATATTCGATCTCACAAAAAAATGATTTGAACATTATACCTATATCAGCTTTTTCATATACCCAAACTAACTCAACCCACTTAAAAATTATTGAGAAAATAACCATGAAAAAGATCCGTAGAAGGTGCTCTGCAGATCGTATAAAACCTCTGCGAAATTAGGATATCTCGGAGGAATTAAGTGTGAGGTTAATTTAGTAAATTCACATAAAAATGTTGTTCTTTGGCTTCCTTTGCTGCGGAAATAGGGTTTTTAGGGGAGTTTGATGCACAAGACAAAGACGAAGACAGAGGAGATTGTTGCCGGACCAAGGATCGAACAAAAGAGAAATAGTGAAGCGATTCCAGAAAGTGCAAGAATTACACGATGATGTCTTATCCGATGGGTATGGAACTCATGTAAGTGTTCTTCGTTTTTGAATTTTGTATGAAACCCTAATTAGCATTAGTAACGTTGTTTTTTTGATTTTATAAATGTGTTTTTGAATCAATATTATGTTGAGAATTATGTTGTGTATAGTATGGTAGTGTAAGATATCACAAAAATCCCAATTTTACCATGTTTACCCGAAGAACAATTCCGCAGAGGAGCTTTGTGAAGAACATATCCACAGTAGATCTTTCTATGGATCGCAGAGGCCTCTGCGAAGTTATTTATTTATATATTTTTGACGATTTTTATATGCTATAAATGTGATTGGGATTTTGTTAACAGAAAATGTTGTAAATGTGATTAGGATTGGTTAAATGTCATTACGATTCTTTATAACTACTTAAAATAACAATGTGATTAAATAAATTTATGTTAATTAGCTTAGTTTAGATTAAAATTTATAACTATTTAAAATAACATTGTGTTATGCAAATTGATGAAATATGTTTTAAATTATGTTACAAAAATTGTCCCTCTTGCATAGTACATTGTTATATTGTTTAAAGAAATTTATCTGCATAGTACATTGCTATATTGTTTAAAGAAATTTATCTTATATAGCTTAGGTTAGGTTAGGTTTAAAATAACATGGTTTGATAAATTTATGTTATATAAATTAGGTTAGTTTTAAATTTATAACTATTAAAAATAACAACAAACTTTGATAAATGATGAAATTTATTGTTATACAAAAACTGTCCCTCTTGTATAGTACATTGATATATCGTTTAAAGGAATTTGTAGTATTGATGCAATAATTTGCCATATATATTTGTTATCTTTTGCAGCATAGTATGCGAGGATGGCCTGCAAAATTAACTTTTAAAGGGGTGGTAGGCACTATGTTGAGGGAGTTCATTCCAAAACTAAATAGTAGGCGACTCGAATTATTTCGAGAGACAACATTTAGGATCTTCATTGGTATGCCCACCCCGAATGGTGACCCGATGCTCTTTCATTTGATGATGTTGCACGAGGTTCGTTATGTGGTGGTAGCCAGGGTGGGAGGTTTTAGTTTGAGTTACAAGGCAGGGTGGTGGAATATGGTGAAACCGTATTTTGTTTGATTAGCGGTTTGAGATTTGAACCTTATGTTGATGTAATCAATACAAAACACACCACAAATTCTACATTATGGAGTCGGTTGTTACCAAATTTGACAGATGAAGATTTACGGTCGAAAGATATAGAAGACTACATAAAAGGGTCAAGATTCTCGACTTGTAGCGATGATGATGCGATAATGGTTATGAATTTGGTGTTTTTGTTAAAGGTCTCATAGGACGTGATACAAATACGTGCATTCCATCGGTAGTTTTTGTGCTCGCCGGTAATGTATATAATTGGAACAGGTAGTAAATTTACTATTTATTTATAACTACAAGATGATTTATATTAACTATAATGAGTACAGCAGGTTTGCATGGAGTGCGTTTTTATGGAGGTGTAGTGAAATACAATTACGACTCTTGTTTAGAAAAATCCATAGATATTTACGAGATCAAGCCAATGTGGGTCCCGTGAAGACGTTAAAGTATACGGTGACTAGTTTTCACCTCCCGTTAAGGTTAGTTTTACGTGCAATTAGTATTACACATTTTAAAGTGTTTATAATCATCGATAAATCATAACATTTTAAAGTTATACTAGGTATGGATTTTAGAGACACTTCTTGACAGTAGCCTTTAACTACCAAGCATGCCTTGTTACGAATTACGTTTCCCTCTTTGTCCATTTTATTGCGAAATACCTATTTCATTTCGACAACAGAAGCATCCTTCGGAGTGGTAACCAATCTCCATACTTTATTTCGCTCAAGTTTGTTGAGTTCTTCCTACATTTCTTGAACCCAATTTTCATGATCCAGAGCAATTTTCACATTTTTAGTCTCAATTTTAGAAATGAAAGAATTGAACATGCAAAATTCCAATTTTGAAAATCATGAAGTTTGTTTTTCTTTTTGTTGAGCCAGTGTAAGAACTCCTAAAGATGAGTGTCCTATCACTTGATAATGTGAATGATCTTTGGTCCACTTAGTCATCGAAGGATAATTCAGATCAAAAGTTGGATCAATTTCAGCATAAACTTCTTCGAAATCCAATTGTACATCTGGTTCATTATTTTCATTCTCCCCCTGGAAGTTTGCATGTGACTCTACATCCGGAATTGGATCCTCCCCCTCAAAGTGAGTATTGGTGTTGGAATTGGAAGTGGAACCCTCCACCTGGAATGGAGCATCAGAAGGTTGTGAAGGAATTGGGAATTCAGAAGCATTCAAAATTGGTTGTTCCTGAGAAGTCTCAATGTTTTTAGCAGCTTCATCAACTATCTTCTTTAACTCATCTTCTTTGTTGTCCTTGGCCTTCAATTATGAGGAAATGGCTTTTCAATATCATCGAACACATTTAGAAATTCCTCATATAAATTCATAAAAGGAATTGTCATTAAATTTGTTGACCGAAAGATTTCCTTAGGTGGATAATCTTCTCTATGATATCTCTTCATGTAGTTGTCATCGAAGGTGACATAGTAGGTTTTTTCAATCTTTTTTGACTTCTTATTCAGAACCCTATATGCCTTTGAAGTTAAAGTATAGCCCAGAAAAATTCCTTCATCTGCTTTTACATCGAACTTGTTCCTACTTTCTTTAGAGTTGAGAAGAAAATACCTGGATCCAAACACATGAAAGAATTTAACGTTAGGTTTCCTATTGTTCAGAATCTCATAAGGAGTAATCAATAATCTTTTATTGATGAAGGATCATTTATGTATGAAACAAGCAGTTACAATCGCGTCAACCCGAAAGTAGAGACAAAGATTTGCAAATGATAACATCATCCTTATAGCTTTGTAAAGAGAGTGGTTTCGTCTTTTAGCTACACCGTCCTTCTAGGGAGTGTAAGGCAAGGAAAATTTGTGAGAGATTCCTTTTCAAGTTAAGAATTCTTCAACTCCTTGATTTTTGAATTTTGAACCATTGTCATTGCGAATTTTCCGAATAGGCTTTCGTAGTTGAAGCTCAACTTTCTTGATGATATCTCGTAGTTTCAGAGTTGTATATGATTTCTATCTAAGAAAGAACACCCAGGTAAATCTAGAAAATCATCAACAATAATGAGAATATATTTATTACCACCAATACTTTCAATGGTTGATGGTCCACAAAGATCAATGTGCAATAATTTTTGTGGCTCAATGATTTTGGTATTAATGATGGTTGAGTGACTCTTCCTACTTTTTTTTCCGACCTCATAGGCAGTACATAAATGTTCCTTATCGAATTTCAGAAGGGGTAAACCACGAACAAGATCACCAATGACGAGCTTGTTTATATCCCAGAAGTTCATATGGGAAAGCCTTCTATGCCACATCCAACTATCATCCAAAGATGATTTTGTAAGCAAGCAAATAGATGTCTTCCCTTTGATTGGATTCAGATTCGGTGGATACATCTCTGCCTTCCTTTTGGACTTTAGAAGCACTGTCTTAGATTTGTTTTCAATTATTTCCGAACCTCTTCATCAAATGATACTTTCAGTCTTGTACCTATAACCAATTGCGAAACACTTATCAGATTGTGTGACAGGCCTTCGACATATGCTACCTTCCTAATCGAAAATTCACCATTCGTAATCATTTCATATCCTTATTTTCCCAGTGGCGTTGCTTGAGAACTTCACTCTACCGCCATCCTTTAAAGATCTAAATTCTAGTAATTCTTCTATTCTCCTAGTCATGTGACAATAACAACCGTTGTCGATATACCATTCTGAATCATACTGTTCATCACGCATAACCTGCAAAAATTAGAGAGATTTAGGAACCCAAACCATCTTGGGTCCTTGTGAGGATTTCTTTTGAACATGAAATATCTTAGTTTTATCAACCCAAAATGATTTTCTTTTCGAGGCATGATTCTTCCCTTTATCGATTTTGAAAACTTCCATTTTGTTATCACAAAGACTAATTTCAACAAAAATAGATTTCTGTTGATTAGATTCTTTGCTTCGTATTCCTTGAGAGCAAGGTTCTAAATGGCGTGAGGCGTGGCGTGGCGGCAAGGCCAAGCCTCAAGCTTAACGAGCCATGGCGAGCCACAACGTTTTTCAAGACGTGATGTAAGGCGACGATTTTGTATTAATTTAAAATTATATTACCACATAAATATAAATTTATATTAAATATAACTACTTTTTAGAAGTGTTAGATCAATAACTAATAACAAAAAGTTAACAAAAGCCACAATACTTGTATCTCCGATTTGAAAAGACATAACAAAGAGCAAAAACCTGTGTCTCAAACGAAAAAACACGCACCATAACACGCCATAACGCGCCATGGCGCGCCACGCCTAACAGCAACGTTATGAAGCTTTTCGTAACGGCGAATCCACGCCTCACGCCATGGCACGCACCATGGCGCGCCTTTTAGAACACTGCTTGAGAGTAATCTCTAGTTCCGAAACAACTTTTCTTTTACAATTAAAATCCTTTGATTTGTTGAGAGGTTTTAAAAACTGAGTTTAAGAAGAACACTTTGATTTTGGCTTTTCAATTGGTTTCGAAAGTTATGATTTTGGAGAAAGATTTGAGTTTGGTTTGGGAATTTGAGAGGAATCAAAATTTTGATTAGAAGATCGTTCTGAATTGACAGAACTTTGATTTGAATTCCTATTTTTCAAAAACGTTTTCTTTCTTTCAAATTCTTCCTATATCTAGCATTCATCTGTCCTTTTTAGCACGAAGTTCTTCTGTAGACTTATGAATGTTAGATTTCTGTTTTTCTTTTTTGACTGGCACTTCATGCTCTTCGGAAGAGGTTTCACTAGAAAAGTCTTTTGTGCTACTTGGTCCATCATTATGGTAACAAAGGTTCACAAGATTCAACGGTTCCAAAACGTATTCCCTTTTGTTGTCCATGAGGTTATTTTTGAAAGACCCTTTTTTCATCGCCATTATCAGTAGGCTTTAACCAGAAGAAGTCATCGCATCCATTTGCATTGTCATTTTTAACCATGGATGTTAGTTCAGATGTATCATTTTTGTTCAACCATGTCTTAACAAAAACTTTATTCAGAATAGTTTGGACTTTTGGAAAAACAATTTCTTTTTATTTCAAAACATTTGAACCTTTGTTTTCAACAATTCGAACGAATTCGATTGAGTTTTGTGAAATCAAATTTTTCTTAGGTTCATCCACATTTTGCTCAAAAACAGAACAATCAATTTCATCCTATATAGAAATCTCACTCATTTCATTTTCATTAAATTCAGTAACGTTTTCGGAATCAAAAGTGCTTTCTGAATTTAATTTCTTGCATAATGAGTCATATTTTTGCATAGTACTCAATTTGATTTTTTTCTTTATCCTTTTCATTCAACATTTCTTACAACATATTTTTGTGGTCTTTGGATTGTATGTATTCCTCAATTTTTTCAAATCCAACCCTGTATGAATCAGAAACGTCATCTAATGAAACAATAGATTCGCATTTATAACAATCAACATCGGTTTCATCCTCTTTCAATTCAAGTTTCATCCTCTTTCAATTCAAGAAAGGGAAAAATCATTTTATGTAGACCTTTCCCTATTTCACAATCCAAATGCAATTGAGTAAGATTGAAATATAAATGCTTAGTAATTAAACAAAAAATGTTCCTTTGTTTCATAAATGCAATACTATCTCTTTCAAGATAAATAACATCATCATGTGATCTAGTAAGCTCTAATTCTAAAGCTTTTATTCTTAATCTTCTTTCTTCACTTTTAAATGTTACCTTGTTAAGTTGATCAGTCAGATTAGAATTACTTAGACGACGAGTTCATTTTACACTATCACTAAAATTAGAAATAGTATATTTTAAATCGTCTAATTCAAAATCATAAACAGAGATAGGAATGTTAAGAGATTTAAGTATAGTATGTACCTTATCGACCACCTTCTTGCATTCTTTCACTTGCTCTGAAATAGTCTTCGCAGCAAAACAGCTTTCGGAAGCTTGACCACCATCAGTAGCATACCCTCTTTGTTCCAAAACTCCATTATGAACCATTAAGCACCTGCCTTCGTAACGTGGCGATTCTGACTTTGCCACAAACACCCGCCATGTGTGGGTTTCCTGACCTCATCATCTTTTAAGTCTATAGATGACACCTCAACTCTTCCATCATCATCATTGCCTTCTTCTATGAGCAATGTTGGCTTCGTATTTGATACATTCTTTTTTCTGAAGCTCCTCTATCTTCTAAAAATAATAGGCTTCGTCCTTTCCATCTTCATTCTTCTCACCTTGCTTCCTTAACATACACTCCTTCGCAAAGTGATTCTTTCCATGACAGTAATTACAATCATAACCTGAATCACCCAACAGTTTCTTTTCCTTCTTTTCCTCATCGTTCCCAAAGTTTTTAAAAAACTCATCCCTAGGCTTCTATGAACTCGAATTACCTTGCATGAACTTGTTTTTGTAACAGGAAAAGTTCTTCTTATATAACTTCTTGGGATTAGACACCAAAAGCGCATTGTTTTCTTTTAAGATTTCACTTAGCTTGAGTTTGTTCTCGAGCATAACTTCTTGGGATTAGACACCAACGCTGTCAGACCCCCGAACCGTCAGAAATAACGGCGGAAACGTCTGGGGGCGGGTGACGTCATGTGTAGTATCACAATAGTTGTATCATAGTAAGCAAAGTAAACATAACCATTACATTACAATATGATTGTTTACATCTGTTTGAAAACATAGTTTGTACATAGTAGTATATAACTAAAGTAAAAGGCATGACTCCAAAATGCTCCGTCTGCTCCCAAAAGTTGACAAGAGTACCTGTCTATTGTTGCCCTAAGAATACAAGCAGTTTGAAAGAGTATCAGCATAAAGCTGGTGAGTTCATAAGTATTTAGTTCTAATGAAAAATGTTTCTTTGATCCTTTGATAAGTGTTGCTCAAGAAAATCCTATATTTTCTTTATGAAAGGTGTTTGATTATCCATTAGTTATTTGTTAAACAGTCCGTTTATCAAAGGTTGAGTTATCTTGGAAAATCGTATATTTTCCCTAAAAGTTGATGGTTGGTTATATGTTCTTGTCTGAGGTGTACAAGTATCTATCATACTTGTATCGTTAGACGTAGTTTTCTTGAAAAACCCAGTTTGCTCCTTATGAGGTGTATTAGCCTTATTACATAAATAAAACTAATAAATACGTGGTGATCTAAATCCTAAGGGTACTATTAATACCCTCTAGAAATCGAATTGGTTATCATTTTGAGGTTAGTTCGCTTGTTTCATTATTACAAAAGCAAGTTACTGTT